AGCGATAATCTACTAAATTGCACTGTTTCAACTCTCTAAGCGATTAATGTAACCTGCCACACGGAGATGACATTCTCATGGGAACAGTTTAAAAGTTTAAAAAATAAATAAGGTGTGGTGATGACCGCCTGCCCCTTTTATAGATGGATCATAACTGAGTACTACTGAGTAGTAATTTTGCAATCGATTTTGGATACAGTAGGAAAGCAAGAAAAACAGTCTTTAAGAAATAACAAATAAAATGTTGATACAATTTAGTCTTATGATTTTGACAAAAATTGAAATTTACCAAAATTAAAAAGTTGTCACAATTCACATACAATTAGTTCGTAGTGAAATACTTTTGGGAAGTCGACGGACTTTGACTTGGACGGACCGTTAAAAAACAGGCTTTATTTGAACGGACATTAAAATTAACGCGAAGGCCTCCAGCTTTCAATAAATGTCCGCGTCCGGTCATGGCGTTGAAATAAAGACGAGTAAGAGTAAGGTAATGATATTAAAAGTACATACTAGAATCTATCTGGCATCGAAATTCTAAAAGGTAAAATAACAGAGCTTGTTGGAAGATAACAGTATTTCGTTCAACTACAAGATAAGTTCCTTACTCCCTCCCTCCCTCCCTCCCTCTCTCCCTCCCTCGAGGGAGGGATCCCTCCCTCCCTCCCTATGATAAATTCCTTACTCCCTAGCTGGCAGACAACAAAATAGCCTCACGGATAATGCACTGTAGACATAGGGGACATGCCCTGTGGATTTTAAATGTCACAAATGACACATTTTATATTGTCTAAGTAGTTCCTGTTACAGATAAGTATACGCAAAATACACACGTACAAAATGTTTAGTATTCAACTCCCTCCCTCCCTCCCTCCCTCCCTCCCTCCCTCCCTCCCTCCCTCCCTCCCTCCCTCCCTCCCTCCCTCCCTCCCTCCCTCCCTCCCTCCCTCCCTCCCTCCCTCCCTCCCTCCCTCCTTCCCCCCTCCCTCCCTCCCTCCCTCCCTCCCTCCCTCCCTCCCTCCCTCCCTCCCTCCCTCCTCCCTCCCTCCCTCCCTCCCTCCCTCCCTCCTCCCTCCCTCCCTCCCTCCCTCCCTCCCTCCCTCCCCCCTTATCTATGCAGTCTCTAGTTTATTGTGATTGCTCTACAGCTGATGTCATATGCAGCTGTTCGTTTGTTTGCACAGTGGGTGTGTACTGTGTACGTGACCGTCCATAAAGCAAAATTACAGAGGATCAGGAAGTTGATTTAAGTTTCCTACAATTTGCTAAGCAGTGTGTATTGTATGCGGTCTGTTATTCAGCTATACAAGAGAGTGTACTAAAGAGAGGGAACAGTAATATTATTGCCAAATCAATTTATCATTACCCTTGCAGATTGCTTGGACGGACCACCCAGATCTCCCTAACCCTAAATCAGAAGTCAATAAAAGACCACGCCTACCAATTACAAACCCTCTTGCTGTGCTCTGTCAGAGAGGGGTATGTAATATTCTATAAACCTGTGGCATTGCTATGAATCCTGTGTTTCAGTCAGGTTTCACGTCATTGTATTTGAAGGATCAAAATTTTACTCACGGTTCAAAGTGTAGCAGGTGCCATCAGGGTCAATCGAGTTTTTATATCCTGTCTTAACCTTACGGCTTACAGTTTAACAATCACGCACTGAGATTCGATGTCGCATAGGTGGAGCGTGCCACAGGAGCAACTACATCTAAAATTAGGACGGCTTGACTTTTCTGGAACGCGCCGAGTTTTTCTGAATTTTTTGCGTATCAAAAAGCTCATCTTTTCGCGCTAAAGTGTGTGCGTTAAGGACGGCGCGCGTTATGACTAATTAGTCGAAGCGAAGGCCCTTGTAACATGCGGCTGATCGTTTCCGTTTCCGCGTTTAAGAATAAAATTTTCTGTTTCTATGAAACCTCGTACACATGTAGTATGGCTGGTAGCCAATATACAGTACCTTACTTTAAATGATAGCTCATAATGCTTACTCACAAAACTGTTCTTAGCTTAATTTATTTTCAGGTTTACACCAAGCGACTTGGAGTGGGTGAACATCCAAATCAGAGGTGGCAGGTAGCAGCCACAGATTAGGGAAAATCAATTAAACTTAAAACCGGTCGAGAGGATTCAAACTGATTATATTCGTCGATAGTGTCCCAGGACTAGTAATTACCGACACAGAGAAAAGGGCGGAAGGTGACATTGTACATGGTGCGACCGTTTAAGACGAGACAAATTTTAGGCCATTTTGATAGGATAGCTGACAATGTAATGTGGACGGCTCTTACTAATTCGCTCGCTCCAAAAAATTTTCACGTGACTTTGGCTTTATGGTTTTGCAGGCCGAACTAAACGGTTTTAACTAAAACCCTATCCTAACCATAACCCGAAGTTATCCATAACCCCGAAGCTATCCAAACTCGGAACCCCTAAAGGGCCTTCTACTTATTTTGTTATATGACGTCCGCCAAAATCGCAGATTTTCAGACCACCCCCCCCCCCCCCCCCCCTGTCCGGGTGTGTCCGAAATTTTCAAAAAACCGCCAGGCTACTTTTAAGAGTACAAATATAACCAACTCAAATTCATTGTTAATAAAATTTCAAAGAGAGTTGAAATAAATTCAAAGAGTGAAATAAAAATTCAAAGAGTTTGAAATAAATGGGAACTTTTTCGTTATTCTGCCAAAATTCCGGATTTTTAGAAAACCACCCCTCCCCCTGTCGAAATTTCCAAAACCACCTTCTTTTTGCCGGACGTTCCCTAAGTAGATGGCCCCTACCTTTAACAATCGAATTCGTGTTTAACAAAGCCTGTCACGTGACCAAAACAGTTTTTTGTCCATAATGCCCAGGGAAGCCTTTTTAAACAATTACCCTACGGGGGGGGGGGGGGGGGGGGCCAATGGCATACAATGGAGATTTTTCTATGGAGAAAATGGAAAAACCAATGAGGACTTCTCCATTTCTTTCAATTTTTGTTATGACTATGTATTTTGTCTATCAAATTCATCTTTAACATTTTACACCTAAATTGGACATCTAAACCATGTTTATTTACGCTTACTAGGGGCGTAACAAGCTTATGAAAGCTCATTAGAGGTACTAGATGGGTTTTATACTAGGTTAGTTGAGGCACACTTTAGGCAACTCATAATTACTCAAGCCAGTGTAAAGTTATTTTAGGCTACACAGGAGGTGTAATAGGGGAGAGTAATAGGCCACCTGAGAAGTTGGACCTGCATCCTCGACAGTCGAAACAAGCTCGTATAAAGGGGAGGCCTGCCTTCGAGATCGCATTACCAGCAAGGGAAGCCTTGAGTCCAAATTTGTGTATCGAGGGGTAGGTGCAGACTTCGATAAACCGAAAAACCAAAAACATATTTTTCGGCTATAATGAAGACGGTAGCTTGAAACGTGGTTTTTGAATACTTTGAAAAATTTGACTTAGAAAATTTTCGGCCAGAGTCATTCTCGCATACGTACTCTCGTATCGATGAGCTCCCGATCCGAGCTCGTGTTGCAAAGGGGAGGCCTGCCTTCCGAGATGCATTACCAGGGGGAGGAAGGATCGAGTCCAAACTTGTTGTACCGAGGGGTAATTTCTAAGTCAAAATTTTTAAAGTTTTTCTGAAAAACACTCTGTTCATTATTGGCCCGAAACACCTCCCCATCTCCTAAATTCTTTATTTTAATAATTCTTTCCCTCCGAAATTCTAACACTCCCTCAGCTACTGTGTCGAGACGCTCAGACTACTCTGGCCCATAAAATGGCATAAAATGGAGACTATTTTCTATGGAGAAAAAAATGGAAAAAAAAAACCTATGAGTAATTCTCTAATTTTCTCCATTTAATGCCATTGGCCCCCCCCACCCTACGTCATGGGGGGGGGGGGGGGGGGGGGTTGATTCGGAAACAAGCACAAATATTACCTTTCGTACTCAGGGCCTTTACACAAGATTTTCTTCTTTAAATTTTGGGCGCGCGATATTAGTGGAGCGAATGTGGGCACAATATTTGAACTTCGCTATCGTTCTGATCTCACAATTCGCTTTTCGTGTGCATTTAGCTTAAATTGGTGTGGAGAGTTTATGTCACCCTTCTGAACTAAAACAGATCAAAACTAATTGAGAACTAACTAAACCGTTACGCAAAATCCATGTTCATTTGTTTCAATATTTGATACAAATGATCATTAAATTGTAAGAGTTTGGACTGCATCAGTTTTTGTCATTCGTTCACTTAGGCATTAATTATTTTAACTAAAGTTACAACCCGAAGTGTACGTTTCTGTAGATTATATCTCCAAAGGAGATTTGATGATTTCTAATGGTTGAAATATTTATGTGACAATTGTATTTAAAAGATGTTTCTTTTGTACGATTTGACGATACGAAGGAGGAGAAAAACAAGTTGTCTAACTTTTTGAAATAAAACATCCAAGACGAGACCAGTTCATAAATATCCGGAATGCAGCCAATGCCTGAATGCCATTACCAAACGTTCACACACTACAATAGAGTTGCCATACCCCCACTACCATGACCCCTATCCCCTGTCTACTATTTCACCCACCATGTCATAAGTCGTCTTGTGTGTGTGTGTCTCACTCTCATATTAACATCCCAAAATACCATATCTTGGTTATAGCAGTGGATCTCCTCAGCATCAGCTCCTCCTTTCATGTAGTGCAGCTTTGCAGATTTATTCGTGTGATTTTACAAACCAGCGACTCGAACATTCCTTATCGTCCATCCGTTTTACGATTTTAAACGTCAGTGCCCTCTAGACCTTAGACACAAAACATACGATAATGGATAAAAACAATCATTCAGTTCACATGCCAAAGTTTCTAATTATTTCTGAATATTCAATATTCTTCCTCTCTGCTGAGTGATGTCTAGTGCACAAGAGCCATCAGTAATTCAAGTATTCCGTATTATGTCTCCTTGTCAAGATTACACCACCGGCCGCTATGACGCGATAGTCTAAGAGGACGTCATGAGACCGAGCCTTCTCCCACACGACAGGACACCAGCGAGTAAGCAGCGTGACGCTCACACAGAGACATGTAGATAGTTGGCGTTTGTTTCGAGCTCCGTTTAGGGTCTCTGACATCTTTGTCCGTTTTTACAGCCACCTGTTAATATAGTTATTTATAGAGGAACGGCTTCCGGTTTGTTCAAATGCATGATTATACAATAGAGATGCCGTCAACAGCCAAATTTCACTAATCATATTTAAACTTCAGATCAGGATTTAAAGAAATATTTGACATGTGGTTGAGTGCTTCCTGCGCTCGCAAGACAGCATAGAACGAGAGACATGCTGACCCGTTAGTAGAGCTACGTGCTACGCCGCACGCTGCACCCACTTCCTTGAGCAACGTGACTCGGGCGCGTTCCATCTTCCCCATACGCAGCCGGTGGCAGTAGTCCGCCGAGTGCGGCTATTGGTGTATACCACTGTGGTCGTTCGGGGTGCAGGTAGCGGCTCTGTTATAACCGCGGCATCACGTCCCCGTACTTCTTAAGTTTCATAGCTGCTCTCTCTTCGGCACATAACAAGCTGCTTGGTCGGTATTAACCTAAACTCGAGCGGTTGGAGAGAATCCTGCCCCAAACGGCGGGAGCCGTAAGAGCAGCCCCTTCCCAACACCCCCTGTCCAACCACCCAACCATGTTCTTCAACAAAATTGCCATGGCAAACCGCATTCGCACTGTCGGTAACCCATGAAACATGTCACTGAGGTGGATTAATGTTTGCAAAAGGTCGAACACCAAGCACAGAGAATTTAATTTAAAGGAAACACATTTGCAACATTTGCGGGGGATCTCATCAGATTCGAATTCTAAATCGAATAACAGGAGAAATATCTTACTCGCTCTAGCCCAGGCAGGGCATTCACTGTCTTCCTGGGTCTCTTCTTAATGCATTGCATCTTAGAGTGTCTCCATCATCGCAACTCCGTCTCAGAAACTCCGCATTTCGTTTTAACTGCGAACATTTTACATCACCTCTAACTCAATAGTAACTTAAAAGTTCGTTAATCAAAAACAATCTGTTGACATGCCCTGATGGCTACCCGAATGTGCTAAGTACGTTACTTGTGCTGGGACTGCCTCCATCTTGTCCATCATATCCGAAGCCTCCGGATTCTTTACCATTTCTTGTGCAATTTTCTTGCGTTTTAGCACCAGACCTGAATTTCCTCCTGTAAAAAAAAGAACGGTTCCAAAACTCGCTTAGAAAGTTTTACCGTTCCTTTCTTGGGGTTGTTTTTTCTACCTTAGCGGGTATAAATTAAACTGTTTAAATACAAACCCAAATTGTAGCGTCTCTAAAAAGTGGGGACCCGGATAGCTTTTAAACTTACCAATTGTCACCATGGCAACAGTGAGGACCACACACGATGCATTGGCTCCCTAAAATTTGAGGACTGAGTAGCTCATTATTTTCGAGCAAAGCTTATCCCCAATTCCCAATAATATTAGAAACGATTTGAAATAGAATAATAACAATAATATCTAAACAACCAAGCAGTTAAAGCTTTATCTCACTGTCAGAAGGATAATTAATCTTGTAATTGGTTAATCTTGCTTACAACACCTACTTTATCTCACTGTCAGAAGGATAATTAATCTTGTAATTGGTTAATCTTGCTTACAACACCTACTTTATCTCACTGTCAGAAGGATAATTAATCTTGTAATTGGTTAATCTTGCTTACAACACCTACTTTATCTCACTGTCAGAAGGATAATTAATCTTGTAATTGGTTAATCTTGCTTACAACACCTACTTTATCTCACTGTCAGAAGGATAATTAATCTTGTAATTGGTTAATCTTGCTTACAACACCTACTTTATCTCACTGTCAGAAGGATAATTAATCTTGTAATTGGTTAATCTTGCTTACAACACCTACTTTATCTCACTGTCAGAAGGATAATTAATCTTGTAATTGGTTAATCTTGCTTACAACACCTACTTTATCTCACTGTCAGAAGGATAATTAATCTTGTAATTGGTTAATCTTGCTTACAACACCTACTTTATCTCACTGTCAGAAGGATAATTAATCTTGTAATTGGTTAATCTTGCTTACAACACCTACTTTATCTCACTGTCAGAAGGATAATTAGGCTTGTAATTGGTTAATCTTGCTTACAACACCTACTTTATCTCACTGTCAGAAGGATAATTAATCTTGTAATTGGTTAATCTTGCTTACAACACCTACTTTATCTCACTGTCAGAAGGATAATTAATCTTGTAATTGGTTAATCTTGCTTACAACACCTACTTTATCTCACTGTCAGAAGGATAATTAATCTTGTAATTGGTTAATCTTGCTTACAACACCTACTTTATCTCACTGTCAGAAGGATAATTAATCTTGTAATTGGTTAATCTTGCTTACAACACCTACTTTATCTCACTGACAGAAGGATAATTAATCTTGTAATTGGTTAATCTTGCTTACAACACCTACTTGAACATAATGAAATAATCTACTTTAGTACTGGCACTATAGCAGTAACTTAACAACATTTATTGTAACTTAAAGTCTAAAGAGAAGATCTGCAATAATTAATATCAAATAACGGAGTAGTTCGCTGTTTATTAGTCTCATGATTGAAATACTGATATCTGGATATTATCCGGTTGGAAGAGACAAGGACAAGTGAAACAAGGAAGTTAGGAGTAAGGGCAAATTTTCGGCGTCAACGCCATCTTCAGGCTCAAATTATTTGTTATATGGACACGTTCATTTGAGTTTGAGGATATTGGTAAATATAAGTGACCCTATTAAAAGGCACAGTGTAGTTGACTTTGTCACACTATGAAATTACTTAAACCCTTGATGGTTAGGATAATCGTCTCATCCTCTAGGCTAACTTTGTCACATAACGATATCTTAATCAGGTGATAAGATATCGCTTAAATACGGCCGGCACGGAAATGGTTACATTGTCACACTATAAACATGTGACGGAGTAAATATGGACCCCTTGCTGCCGTTTTTGACCAAATTTTTGAGTGTCCAGTTGATTGGATGGGTACATATGACCATTACCTACATATTTGACGACTTTTTTCGTTAGATGGTGCATTCAGGTTTACTCTGTCACACATTAAAGAAAATATGTGATGAATGTTTAGGGCACCCTGATAAGCAATGCTGAGTAGTGTAAGTTTATTTGATGGCCTGGAAGTGCTGGGAATTGTTATTATATCATATAGTCGTAAGGAATTAAAACATAGAAGGCACAACCAAGCTTACTTTGTCACATAATCTTGATAATGTCTGAACATGTGTGAAATTGAACAAATAATGATATACCAGCTTAAACCCCTTATATTATACGTACTATGGATCAAACAACACTGCTAGTACCATGCACCAGTCACATAAATCATTATCAGGTGGTAATATGTTAACAGTGTCACAATTAAACTACCGCTACATGGTCAAAAATAGGGTAATTTAGTCACAAAAAATTATTATAACTCTGTTAGCTCCTTGCTGGCAAAATAACTAGTTTATCGAAATTTTTTTGATGATAAAGTTACATAGTATTCTAATAGAAGTATAGTTCTTCAAAATAGGGGCAAGACATGTTTACTTTGTCACATCAGTTATTATAAGAGTTAGGTAATCGTCATCAGATTAAAAGATATTTTTCGTAGTTTGGATCGATTAATACTTTAATATACCTGTAATAAAACCTATGCCAATTTTAACACACTATCTTGATACTATTGGGGCAGGGAAAGTTAATTTTGTCACATTTTTAATGTCTTTGACAAATTAATCTAAATTTAAAAAATTGAGTTCTTATGTTCTGGACAATATTCTTCCAATCGTTTCTGAAAGAATGTTGAATTCTAATAGAGTTATAGATCTTCAAAATAGGGGCAAGACATGTTTACTTTGTCACATCAGTTATTATAAGAGTTAGGTAATCGTCATCACATTAACATATATTTTTTGTAGTTTGGATTGATTTATATAGGTAATAAAGCAGCCTATGCTAATTTTTACACACTATCTTGAACTTGTTGGGGCATGAAAAGTTAATATTGTCACATTTTTAGTGACTTTGACAAATTTAACCTAAAATTGTTAAACTTAAGCTCTGATGTTCTGGACAATATTCTAATAGAGGTATAGAATATAGATCTTCAAAATAGGGGCAAGACATGTTTACTTTGTCACATCAGTTATTATAAGAGTTATTATAAGAGACTATTTCATTTTTTAATCATTGTTTTTAATCTATTTACGATTTCGTATAATTTTTTGTGACAATGTAAACATCAACTGATCTTAACTTGCATCAACTACATTGTCATCATATAAAATTTTCCCGCCTTTCAAACCAAAATCAGATATAAATTATTCGCCCAAAATTTTAAATTTCATATATTGTGACAGAATTAACCTCATTTCCCAATAACCAAGTGCCTGTATTAGCTAACTATTCAAAACAAAATATTTTAGGGCTATGCTTGGTAGAGCAACCATAAAATAATGAGTTGAAAGGATTTTTAGGACACCTCACAGTAGAATAGAGGTATGGTATCATGAGTGTGACAAAGTTACCCAAATATTGCCTTGTAACCGTTCGATCCGTGCCCATTAACCAATGTTGTATCATAATTGTTAGATTGACCTAATTTACTATATTTCAGACCAAGGAATGATAATTAGACAACTGCAGTTAACTAAGTCACACAAAATGTGACATTTGAAACATTATAGTGCCTAACAACAATAGATTTTCTTTCTGAGCGGTGCATATGGGAGTATGGGTTACGTGGCTAATGTTCAGAACTTCTGAACGTGCTAGGTTAATAGATGTCAAAATTAAGCCACTATCGTCAAAAACGCTATTATTTTTGTTTACCAATATCCTCAAACTCAAATGAACGTGTCCATATAGTAGTGTTGAAAGTATTAATACTTTCAACACTACTATATAACTTTATCTCACTGTATTAATACTTTCAACACTACTATATAACAAATAATTTGAGCCTGAAGATGGCGTTGACGCCGAAAATTTGCCCTTACTCCTAACTTCCTTGTTTCACTTGTCCTTGTCTCTTCCAACCGGATAATATCCAGATATCAGTATTGCAATAATTAAGACCAACCCAAATGTCTATCAATCCCTTATTAGGTACTCGTCTCACCAATGATCTTATTGCTCAGGATTTCAAGTTTGGTATTATACACCTCAACAACTGACGTCTTATGTTATCTAAAGGAGTTCCGTGGCAGTGCCATAGAGGCCCTTACTTAGTTCAGTGGCAGTGCCATAGAGGCCCTTACTTAGTTCCGTGGCAGTGCCATAGAGGCCCTTACTTAGTTCAGTGGCAGTGCCATAGAGGCCCTTACTTAGTTCCGTGACAGTGCCATAGAGGCCCATACTTAGTTCCGTGACAGTGCCATAGAGGCCCTTACTTAGTTCCGTGGCAGTGTCATAGAGGCCCTTACTTAGTTCCGTGGCATTGTCATAGAGGCCCTTACTTAGTTCCGTGACAGTGCCATAGAGGCCCATACTTAGTTCCGTGACAGTGACATAGAGGCCCTTACTTAGTTCAGTGGCAGTGCCATAGAGGCCCTTACTTAGTTCCGTGGCAGTGCCATAGAGGCCCTTACTTAGTTCAGTGGCAGTGCCATAGAGGCCCTTACTTAGTTCCGTGACAGTGCCATAGAGGCCCTTACTTAGTTCCGTGGCAGTGTCATAGAGGCCCTTACTTAGTTCCGTGGCATTGTCATAGAGGCCCTTACTTAGTTCCGTGACAGTGCCATAGAGGCCCATACTTAGTTCCGTGACAGTGACATAGAGGCCCTTACTTAGTTCAGTGGCAGTGCCATAGAGGCCCTTACTTAGTTCCGTGGCAGTGCCATAGAGGCCCTTACTTAGTTCAGTGGCAGTGCCATAGAGGCCCTTACTTAGTTCCGTGGCAGTGCCATAGAGACCCTTACTTAGTTCAGTGGCATTGCCATAGAGGCCCTTACTTAGTTCCGTGGCAGTTCCATAGAGGCCCTTACTTAGTTCCGTGGCAGTGCCATAGAGGCCCTTACTTAGTGGGTGAACACGAAGTTTGCCAGGAAAATAAACTAAAAGAAGAGAGAAATACTAACCCTACTCGAAGTTCTGTAATAATCAGTCTCTTCAAAGTTAGCGCCACAATTCTCAATATCTGACTGCGAGGAAGTGAAATGGGTCCGAGTCAACTTGGGGCCAGTTATAACATCGTCATCTGCACACGTGACGTCATCAGAATTAGATATGACGTCATCAGACACTACGTCACCGTGGGATAACTTGACGTTTAAAGAGGTGTGACCCTCACTCAGGTTGGAGAGCTTTGGGGAAGTGTTTAGTTTGTTGTAGCCCGAACAGTCATCTTGATCTGGAGTACCGGATAGTATCGCTCTGAAATAGACAGGATAATTAATATAATAATATTAGTATAATAATTATCATAAATAGATATTCAGCTTAATTTGGAATATAATAGTCTTTAGGGTACAGTTTACCGCATTATATTAAGGTATTTTTAAGAATCATTTTTGTCGGTAAGATCCTGTTTTATAATAATATAATAATAATAGTCTTTAGTTTTGATCTATTTTGGGATACTGTTCATTAAATTAGGGTAATTTATTGGCGCACACTTTGACATTTTAATAGATTGATCGGGAATTCAAAAAGCGTGACGTTCGATTTAATTAATAAGTAAGAGAGCATTTAAATTTTGACGTTCCGTAATCCATTCAATAAATTCCAATTTTTCATTATTTTGTTTTTCTACCGAACTTTTAGCCGTTGGTGATAGGAACTTGTGTAGATCCTCGGACAAGTGACGCAATTCTCTTGGAGGCTTGCTTAAAACATAGTTGAGATCCAACTCCTCTTTTGGGCATGTTTAAGACATGTATCCAAGGTTCCGTTTTTTTGTGTTAGTTGCTTTCCATATGTGTGGTATAAAGCACATTATTTCATAATATGCCTGTTTAGTGTTTATATTGTTAAAAGAACGTTGCCTACTATTTTATCAAAATGCAAGTACGAGTTTGTCGCTCTCAATATAAAAACCATATCAAGGTTGCCCGTAAGATAGGAGTGGGCTGTATTTTACGATGGAGCTAACACTCCTAATATGGTATAATTACACCAGCCTCCCATCTCTATTTCTATACTGGACAGGTTGATTTATCGAGAAGAACATGGAATCTTCTCGACGGAATTCAGCTTGCTAAATTTTGATGATATTTGAAAGACGATGTAATAAACAAATTGCTAAATTTTCGTGAAGCATCGAACATGAAATGTAACGTGTACTGATATACGGGCTAGTGTAATACTGAGGAGCCGTACCGTCCATAATAACGATATCGTATTTACTAAAACACTACATAACACTTCCAGTGCACTAGATATTTCTAGATCTGCCCGGACCAAATGTTTCATAAAGATCAGATTCTTCTTCAGCGTGACAAATTTAAGAATGCCCCGTTCTAAGGCTTCTTTGGCAGTCGACGAAAAGTGAGTAGTTCTACACTAGTTTTATACTTGCAGTGATGATTCGTACTAATAGTGGCCCTGGATCGTGCGTGTCACTACACTTTCTGTTGATATCTTAACATTTACAACGTGTCATCATAACTAGGCTATAATATCTATATAATGGATATTGGCCCTTGGGATTGGGAATTCAGATGAGAAGATGGGTGATGGGGTTGATTTTTTACTGTATTTTTTTAAACACATAAGATATGTCTCTCAAATAATAATAAGATGTGAACGTATTAATAGTGGTCAACGAACAGCAGTAATAACAAGCTAGCCCAATAGTACAGTAATACGTCGTTTTGCAGGATCACTGGATCGGTTTCTTATTCAGACAACCAGACCGTGAACTAAACAATTCCGCTGATTTTCAGTGCCATGAATCCTGATTCATGGCAGACTTGAAGGACGGTGGGGATTTTTGCAGGCTTTACTACTTCTAGTTTTCTACTTCTAGTTTTCCACTGCGATTAAGTCACCAAGTGAGATGATGTTTTGATATGGTTGCCAGAAATATTTAATCTTCATCTAACATAAGTGCAGCTATAACTCGAATTAATGTGATAGTTGTATGAGTTACATATTGCCCATCTCTATTTCTTGTAACTAAAGAATCAAAATTTAAAACAGAGTACAGGTAACCAGGTAACCAGGTAACCAGGTAACCAGGTAACCAGGTAACCAGGTAACCAGGTAACCAGGTAACCAGGTAACCAGGTAACCAGGTAACCAGGTAACCAGGTAACCAGGTAATCATGATTTAAAACAGAGTACAGTACCTCTCCAGAAAATCAGTCTTATCCTCAAGAGGTATTTCTTTAGCTTGGAGATGTTTCTCCGCTGACGTTGAAAAGTTAGCTAATATCTGAGGAAGGTGCTGATTAGGAGAGCGTATTGTAAATGATAAACTGAGTGGTAGAAATAAGGGAACTGAACCAACACAGTGAGCTGTAATTTCAGGGTTTAAAACTTCTGCACAAGTTGAATTTAAGGCAAACCCATCAACAACAATAAAATCAGTGCAGTTTTTAGGTCAACAGCTCAAACAAAACTCGAATGTAACTTCACGATGTTTTTTTCGTATGTATTCGAGGCTTAAAACAGAGATTTTGGTTTAAGGTAAGTGTTTGTAAACATATGAAAGATGGAAGCACATTAATTTGGCAGGTTTTAACAACTAAGATAAGGAGTTACTTCTGGTTCCAGCATTGGTGAGACAGCCCCTGATATCATGAAATAGTTGTCTTCAAACACGTGATCGTGATCTCTGTTCTTCCTGCAGGTGAGAGAGTGCTGTTTATCTATTTCGTAAAATCAAATAAATGGGAAATTCAGCAATTACAAAGTTTGCTGTATCAGTACTATACGAAAATAAAACGTACATGTCTTCAATGAACTTTGTTTCCTTGGTATCGTTAAGCTCCACTATTTGGTTATTGAGGTAGCACACTTCCTCACAAAGCTTTGTTATCAACTCGTCTTTTCTGAACGAGCTGTGTACAGTCAATATTTGGAATCAAATAACTCAACAAATGTCAAATAGTTAATTCAGTTCAGGTACCATGATCTTTTAATGATTTCATGTATTTCAGTTTGAAAATGTGACAAGTTTATTGAAATAATCAGGACTGACATTTTTATAACAGTAATAAGAGCAAGGTGACTAAAAAAGAGTAAAACACTGTACAACACAATATGGAAATATCTTACCTATGAACCACAGATTTGTCATTCCCATTTAGCTTTGGCGGAGCTGTTATGGGCCTAGGTGGCATATCCTCAATCGTTACAGTGTTTTGTTGGAAACTCTCAAATTTCTGGATTATGTTTGCTATTGTATCTGAGTGATTTTTCTCCTCGTTCATTACCTATTGAATATTAATTGGATTTGAAACATTACCGAAAGAAGATATTTTACAATAGCATTTGGAACCAATATTTTATTGAATTTTGTACAAAATTTGGTAATATCTCAATGTTATCTAATAACATCCATGTAGAGTTCGAATTCTTGTACTGGTTTGGCAAAAACAATGGCAAATCAGTAATTGACACTTAATTAACACCTAAATAATAAATATCTATGTTGTATATCATTGGTTTGATGAAACATTTCAAATTGTGAATGTTTATAAGCAACATTATGCATCTTATTAACAACATAAAATTATCTCAATAGCTTATTATTAATGGAAAAAAATACTCTAAATTAACACTGTTCAAGTGTTCATACAGAACTATGAAATAATGAACCCATGTATCAACAGATGCCTCGTATCTGAATAACATGACCTGATGTGGAACGGCCTACTACACACCTATAATATGTCTTTCCAGGCTGTAAAGCTTTAGTTTAATCGATCACATTCCTTGTGGTAGACACCACGCATCTACTTATCTCAAAATATCTTATACTATTATATAAACAGTCCAGCTTCTGTTTCTACTACTTCTTATGGGTAACCAATAACCATGGGGATTGTGAAATCAAGAAGTCCTGAATGTGGGCCTCTCCTTCTTATAAGGGATTGTACCCTCTTATTTGCTAGAAGGGACTTTTCAATTCAATACAAACCATATTCATCCGATTCAAATCAAACCACATTCTTCCAGTACACGGATATATTGGTTGGCTGCGTATATATACACAGCCAACCCTGTCATGAAATGTTACCGTAGGGTGGGAACATCAGTGTCTTGTTATTTGAGTTCACATGATAAATTCATAAATAGATGTTAGAGTAATAAGTTAATTAATAAATCTTAAAAACATGGTCAGCTGTTATGAGTATCAGCTCATGAACTTGAAAAAGAAACGAATTTCAATAAGATGATATCCACAATAAGGTACTGCAGCTCAATTAATTCTGAAAGAGCGTTTGTCCAAAGAATAATTTCATTTCAACCATCATTTCAATGAGCAGTTTAGGGATAGCCGAGCCAAAGCGCGACGGCATAATTATATACCTACATTAAGGTTTTAGATGATATATGGCCTAAAGAAACATCTCCATACAATTCGTAATTCAAGCACTAGTGCTTGTCCTATGTGCTGCGACGAAGAGGAGACTGTCTCGCACTTGCCCAAATAAGAGGGCAATATTTCCAGGACTTAAAAAAATCAAAATCAAAATATAATGACACAAACATCATCACACATCATCAAAAATATATCTACTAAAGTTTAAAAATTATCTTAAATCTATTGGCCTAGACAACCAAGTCATAAATTGATTAAAGATATGTATCCTAATTCATTGGAGATGGAGCGAGCTGGTTCCAATAATAAAATCATTAACTACCTTGATTTAAATATTAATATTTCCACAGAAGGACTAGAAATATCAGTGTATAACAAAACTGATGATTTTAATTTTCATGTTGTATCCCTTACATTTCTTCACAGTAACATCCCAACCGAGGTTGGCTACAACGTTTTTCCAAGTCAAGTTCTTAGATATGGTAATGTTTGCACTAGATTGGATATCTTTACCTCCCATCTTCACAAGATATTCAAAATTCTAATTGATAGAGGATATAGCCGTGATAGACTGATTAAAGGTATTAAACGTTGTCTGAGGAAATAAAATAACGTTTTCAGGAAGTTCGGTATTCTAGATGACCATAACATTATTAAAGAACTCCCCTGATATCTTTTGATTTTATTGAAACACGGGTACTAACTCTGCTAAACTGAAAAAATTCTGAAACTTAGGTGAATAAGTGTACAACGTGCTAAACCGAAGTTCGGACTGACCAGTGAAAATGGGCGAGCGTACCAAGTGTCATTTTAATTAGATGTTTTAGTCAGTGATTTATTATTGAAGCTTGTAATTACAATAACTAATGCTCCTGTAAATACTTTAATTAATTGTTTGTTCCGTTATTCTTTTTCCTTCCTCTTTTCCTTGTCATCCCCTTTAGTTTTAAGATTCTTGCTATAAATGGCTACAGCTAACACTATTAATGCTAAGTACCAAACAGCAAGTGGGAGATGGATCGTTGGTATACCGTTAAATCGATTTAACACCGCAATTCCAGTCGCAAGCCTGGGACCACTACTAGCATTGTCACAACATCTACAAAGCTGCCATATAGCCTGACTGACAATTTTCTCGACTGACTGACAATGTTTCTTCTTTTCCCCATTTAGAATACATAGATTAGTACATTTTAGCTTATGATTAATATTATATTTTTATCTATAGTTTACCTAGATTAAAACGAATCTAATTTACATACTTTCAACTACTATATAAGTTGATAAAGCGTTTTTTAGCAACACTATTACCTCTCCATCGATGGTATACAACACGTCTCCACTATTGTCAACTTCGCAAACCTTTACGGATGTTACTTGTCTAAATTTCTTCGAAGTAGTGCGCGCCGCTTTCTTCTAGAAATGCCCGATGGCAAATGCTACGAAGTAGCGCGCGCCGGGCCAGACCATTAACAATGGTCAACGCAAACCGCACCAAACACGTTATTGTGCCCGAGGAGCTGGACTGTAGACCAGACCGGTGTGACATAACGACTACCCAATACTCTTGTGTCGTCAACTTTTTCTTCCACAGTCCAAACCCAGCTGACGCTTAAGCGTTCATTTATGACATATTTCCCCTCGCGCGCGAAAAGTGGCATGCAACGTATGTCAAGGCCAAAGTACAAAAACTGCTGCTCACTGCTGCTCACTCCTGCTATGAACTGCTCATGCTGCTAATATAACTGCTGCTAACTGCTGCTAACTACTGCTAACTGCTCACGACGGGACCACTGGAAGCGCATTGCACTAGAGATTTTTCGCGCGCTGAGTGTTGCCAGGCAAATATTTCATCATGATTCCCATTGGCTTCCAGCTCTATCTTTACTTGGCATATTTGCTCTAACCAGAGCCCTCTCGCTTGCAGTAGCGCGCGACCGCAGTACGCGTAGGCACATGGCTATGTGAATTGGCATATCATTAGTTCATGTTTCAGTTTTAAAGAGAATCCTTTGTTCTGCATCCCAGTATAAATTTTATCAGTTAACTTTTTGATGAAGTTGACTATCAAATGTGCGTAAAGTAATCAGTTTTCGACAGACCACTGCAAGAGAACTTCATTTTTATCCTACCCAAAAAACTGAGAATATATTGGAAATCATCTCAACTTTATGTGTGCAAATTTTCAGAATGGCTCGACAAGATGGTTTCGAGATAGAGATGATCAAACACGATGTATCTGTGTTATTTTAATGGCGCAGTTTATATCTCCGCCAAAAGCAAATTTGTAAGCACTCACGCGCATTATATCCAAATGTGAGTTTAAATTTTCGCATTGGATGGTTGCGCATTAGATGGTTACTATGCCGCGCCCTGCGCTGCAGCATTACAATTTATTCCATCAATTGAGACCTTCGCCCCGCATTTAAGCTACTCGTCTGACATCAATTATTCTGTCTTATTTTGTTCCATTTTAAACTGTACGATTAATTGTGAGTGTGTTTTATATACATTTGAGTTCACAGTTGTGAACTTTACTTTCAGTATTTTATGTGACAGAGATTAGTTTAACTAATATTTGCTTCTCCTAAATCAGCTTATTTTTAAACATTTGATCAATTATTCTGTCTTATTTTGTTCCATTTTAAACTGTACGATCAGTTGTGTATGAAAATTATAATGATTGTCACGAGATGTTTGATCTAGTTATTAGAGTTGAGCTAATTCTAGTCCTTGTTATGACAGTATTAAAACTGTAATAATTGTCACGAGATGTTTGATCTAGTTATTAGAGTTGAGATATTCCTAGTCTTTGTTATGACAGTATTAAAACTACAATAGTTGTCACGAGATGTTTGATCAAGTGGCTAGAGTTGAGCTATTCCTAGTCCTTGTTATGACAGTATTAAAACTACAATAGTTGTCACGAGATGTTTGATCTAGTTATTAGAGTTGAGCTATTCCTAGTCCTTGTTATGACAGTATCAAAACTACAATAGTTGTCACGAGATGTTTGATCTAGTTATTAGAGTTGAGCTATTCCTAGTCCTTGTTATGACAGTATTAAAACTACAATAATTGTCACGAGATGTTTGATCTAGTTATTAGAGTTGAGCTATTCCTAGTTCTTGCTATGATGGTATTAAAACTACAATAGTTGTCACGAGATGTTTGATCTAGTTATAAGAGTTGAGCTATTCCTAGTTCTTGCTATGACAGTATTAAAACTGTAATAATTGTCACGAGATGTTAGATCTAGTTAGTTGAGTTGAGCTATTCCTAGTTCTTGCTATGACAGTATTAAAACTACAATAGTTGTCACGAGATGTTTGATCTAGTGGCTAGAGTTGAGCTATTCCTAGTCCTTGTTATGACAGTATTAAAACTACAATAGATGTCACGAGATGTTTGATCTAGTTATTAGAGTTGAGCTATTCCTAATTCTTGCTATGACAGTATTAAAACTACAATAATTGTCACGAGATGTTTGATCTAGTGGCTAGAGTTGAGATATTCCTAGTCCTTGTTATGACAGTATTAAAACTACAATAATTGTCACGAGATGTTTGATCTAGTTATTAGAGTTGAGCTATTCCTAGTCCTTGTTATGACAGTATTAAAACTACAATAGTTGTCACGAGATGTTTGATCTAGTTATTAGAGTTGAGCTATTCCTAGTCCTTGTTATGACAGTATTAAAACTACAATAATTGTCACGAGATGTTTGATCTAGTGGCTAGAGTTGAGATATTCCTAGTCCTTGTTATGACAGTATTAAAACTACAATAATTGTCACGAGATGTTTGATCTAGTTATTAGAGTTGAGCTATTCCTAGTCCTTGTTATGACAGTATTAAAACTACAATAGTTGTCACGAGATGTTTGATCTAGTTATTAGAGTTGAGCTATTCCTAGTCTTGTTATGACAGTATTAAAACTGTAATAATTGTCACGAGATGTTTGATCTAGTTATTAGAGTTGAGCTATTCCTAGTCCTTGCTATGACAATTGACAGTATTAAAACTACAATAGTTGTCACGAGAAGTTTGATCTAGTGGCTAGAGTTGAGCTATTCCTAGTTCTTGCTATGACAGTATTATAACTACAATAGTTGTCATGAGATGTTTGATCTAGTTATTAGAGTTGAGCTATCCCTAGTCCTTGTTATGACAGTATTAAAACTACAATAGTTATAGTTGTCACGAGATGTTTCATCTAGTTATTAGAGTTGAGCTATTCCTAGTCCTTGCTATGACAGTATTAAGACTACAATAGTTGTCACGAGATGTTTGATCTAGTGGCTAGAGTTGAGCTATTCCTAGTCCTTGCTATGACAGTATTAAAACTACAATAGTTGTCACGAGATGTTTGATCTAGTGGCTAGAATTACTGTCATAGCAAGGACTAGGAATAGCTCAACTCTAATAACTAGATCAAACATCTCGTGACAACTATTGTAGTTTTAATACTGTCATAACAAGGACTAGAAATATCTCAACTCTAACAACTAGATCAAACATCTCGTGACAACTATTGTAGTTTTAATACTGTCATAACAAGGACTAGAAATATCTCAACTCTAACAACTAGATCAAACATCTCGTGACAACTATTGTAGTTTTAATACTGTCATAACAAGGACTAGAAATATCTCAACTCTAACAACTAGATCAAACATCTCGTGACAATTATTACAGTTTTAATACTGTCATAGCAAGGACTAGGAATAGCTCAACTCTAGCCACTAGATCAAACATCTCGTGACAATTATTACAGTTTTAATACTGTCATAACAAGGACTAGGAATAGCTCAACTCTAACAACTAGATCAAACATCTCGTGACAACTATTGTAATTTTAATACTGTCATAGCAAGGACTAGGAATAGCTCAACTCTAGCTACTAGATCAAACATCTCGTGACAACTATTGTAGTTTTAATACTGTCATAACAAGGACTAGGAATAGCTCAACTCTAATAACTAGATCAAACATCTCGTGACAATTATTACAGTTTTAATACTGTCATAACAAGGACTAGGAATAGCTCAACTCTAATAACTAGATCAAACATCTCGTGACAATTATTACAGTTTTAATACTGTCATAGCAAGGACTAGGAATAGCTCAACTCTAATAACTAGATCAAACATCTCGTGACAACTATTGTAGTTTTAATACTGTCATAACAAGGACTAGGAATAGCTCAACTCTAATAACTAGATCAAACATCTCGTGACAATTATTACAGTTTTAATACTGTCATAGCAAGGACTAGGAATAGCTCAACTCTAGCCACTAGATCAAACATCTCGTGACAACTATTGTAGTTTTAATACTGTCATAGCAAGGACTAGGAATAGCTCAACTCTAATAACTAGATCAAACATCTCGTGACAACTATTGTAGTTTTAATACTGTCATAACAAGGACTAGGAATAGCTCAACTCTAATAACTAGATCAAACATCTCGTGACAACTATTGTAGTTTTAATACTGTCATAGCAAGGACTAGGAATAGCTCAACTCTAATCACTAGATCAAACATCTCGTGACAACTATTGTAGTTTTAATACTGTCATAACAAGGACTAGGAATAGCTCAACTCTAATAAATTCTATTCGTTGTTATGACAATAATATAACTCAGAATGTTAACAAGTTTTTGAAAAGACTGTAGAAGAAGATATCATGCCTCATTCGTTGGAGTTCTCAGACCCGTCGACACTCTACTGCACAGCCACAATTTCTAAGAAGAGGGTTGACTTCCTCAAAATGGGAAACAGGAGAAAAAGCTACAGACCATCAAGGCAGAATTAAAAGAATCATTTACCTAATACTTTTTAACAGTCACAGAGTTTTATAATAAAACTTTGTAAGAATTTTGATCGTTCTTAAAGTTGTGTTTTGTTAACATCATATTTTGTATTTCTCGACTCAAAAAAAGCATTATTATATATAACAAACGAATCTTTTATCATTAAAGCATTTCATGCTTTACTGCCGGTTTACTATACGACTGAAGTGCACAATTGTATGGAAAAGTAAATTTATTCTCAATAATACGGGAGGAGGTGTTCTAACCAAATTGTACTAATATCACCCCGTAGGTATACCAGTACCGGTACACCGTAGGTACCGGTTTATTCTCTACTAAATATCGCCCATGTATAATATCGTCTCGCCATGCTATTAATGTGCCAAGTTCGAATTCGGTTTCTTGCACTTTACTTATATAATATTTTGCTTCCTTTAAACTGGTATGTTAGGAAGCAAAAGAGGCTGTTTAATGTAACTTCAGGAAGGCGCGACTGTGAAAATAGTTGAGAAAACTACGCGCATTAATGCTAAAATGTGATGCTTTTGGCGGAGATATAAACTGCGCCTATTTTAATACATTCGCGTGCAATTTTTAACGCCAATTGTAAGATGTAAGCATTGAACGCCAATTGTAAGCATTGAAAATATTAGAGATTTGATAGAATAGTGCATTGTAACAGAATATAATAACACATAGTATTAGTAAGATTAGTTACCACAATAGCTCGATCATGAGATCAGTGGACTGTTTGGATGCTTTCAATGTGAGTAGTAAGCTGGGTGTGGGTTCGAAGCTCACCGGGGGTTGAAATCGAAGATTTCAAATCGAAGATTTCAAATCCCGGTGAGCTTCGAACCCACACCCAGCTTAATGTTTTTGCTTTATCCATTAAGTTTATAAATATAAGATATCATTGAGATAAACAAATTAGGGTATTAGTTAGATTAAAACACTACCACAAATATAATACTCCATCATTCACTTTATTACTGAGTACTGACACGTAATAAAGTTGACTATAAAATGTGCGTAAAGTAATCAGTTTTCGACAGACCACTGCAAGAGAACCTCATTATTAGCCCTCCCAGAAAACTCAGAAGATATTGGACATCATCTTAACTTTATGTGTGCAAATTTCCAGAATGGCACGACAGAATGGTTTAGAGATAGAGATGATCAAAGACGATGTTTCTGTGTTATTGTAATACATTCGCGTGCAATTTTGAACGCCAATCTTAACAATATAACAATTGAAAATGTTATCAGTTTGATCGAATAGTGCATTGTAGCACAATATAATAACACATAGTATCAAAATGACCAGTTACCACAATGGCTCGGTCATGACAGCAAAAGACTAATCCTATATATTGACACATGCAATAAGTAAACTCAGTGTGGGTTCGAGTCTGACCAGGGTTAAATTCTACGATTTCAAAGATTTCGAGGATTTCAACACCTGGCCAGACTCAAACCCACATCTGGTCGAATGCTTTTGCTTTATCTATATTATTTATAAATATAAGTTAAATACAATATCTTATTGAGATAAACAAATAAAGTCAGTAGTTAGATTAATACACGAACACAGATATAATCATTGACATTATTACTAACACGTAATTTGCCATAACTCCGGATTGGAAATATGTTCCCAAGGCCCAATTATTCTCAAACCCCATCGATATTGAAAGTCTGAAAATAATTCAAAACTACCACTACTTACTCTCATTCTGTTGAACAATCAGTAAGAAGAGTTTTGATGATTAAATGTGAATCCTATCTCAGAAAATGGATTCCATGATGCGTTTGATATTGGTTACGCGAACCAGGATTTGCTCCTTGATGAGCATTGTAGCGTTTCCCTTCAAAAAGCAATACTGGCCAGTGCGAAAAGCCTGCTGGCTTTGGATCAATTCATTATATTATATTCGACCGACCATATCATGCATATTCAAATTTTAACTCTTAACTGACATTGATTGCTTTTTTTACAATTCATAGATTTTACATTCGCGCCTTCCGTAAAGTAGAGCAAGATTCTGAAATTTCAGCAGGCAAACTGGACTTTTATCAATGTTGTTGAAAGAGTTTCTAAAGATGATCAAGAAAGTTACTGAAACGATTCCGTCTATCCTACATAACAGTCTATCTTACATAACAGTATTTTAGGCCTCGTTTGCAAAATTTTAGCGCACAGAATTAAACCAAGTTCTGCTGTGTTGCGAGCAGCGATAGAAGGAAGTTTTCTCCAACAGTTGAAGAGCGAGGGCCAGGGGTAGTGTGAACGAGTTCATCAGTTCATTCTTTTCTTTTGTGGCAGAATTAACTCCCTGTCAAAGATTAATAATGTGAAACGAATTTGAAACATAACCTCAGCAAGTCGTGAGTTGTGTCAAAATTGTATGATAGATAATAATCTCAGAACTTTCTAAATCTTAATAACATTTTTTCATCAGCATTGGCAAATAATTGGCAATAGTAATTTTGCTTCAACTTACATTTGTTCTCGGAGAAGGAATGTTACACTTTTACATGGTCCTGGCCTGATCGGCAATACTATTCGCTACTTTTCAGGATTTAATCCCTGAAATTTTGTACAATGCTAGCAGGAATTACGAAATCTATTCGAAGGTTATTTAGTTTGTTCCTCAAACCGCTCCACAAAATACTCCACAACTCCCTCTCTACTTCTCCCGCTTCCCCATCAACATTTCACTACCACTCCTCCCCCGCCCCCGAAGAGGAAAGGTCACCATTTCTACTCACACTCACAACACAGCACTCAGTCTTGGTCCAAGAAAGCAAAAGATGATTTACTCGCTACGGTACAGGAGAATATTTCTGCAATGGCCATCAATCTACGTTGGAAAGAGTTATTTGCTAACACTCAACCGACACTCTCAACAAACATTTGAAGTAGACTTACACCTGTGCTCCACGTCTAGTAGACCAGAGAAATCTGGGCCAAGACTTCTGAAATAGAGGAGATACCACATCAAGAGGATTAATACAAGCTTCTTTTAGCTTATTTAATCTTTTTGCCATCTCCAAAAATAAGTGGCTGTTATGATTTCTTTTCACTGTCGCTAAACGTGTAAACAATTTTATAGATATTCATGCCATACAATTGCAGTACCTACCTATTGAACCTATGAAAGTATTTTTACCTATCAGCAGTAAAATCGGGGGGGGGGGGGGGGGGGGGGGGGGGGGGGGAGGCGGGGGGGGGGGGGCATAGAAAGCCCACTAGAGGATAGCATTAAGATGCTTTGCTTACCTCTGGGATGAGGGGGGGTTTGTCGGGGACAACAGTGTGAATTGTGGAGGACGGTGGTGGTAATGATATGAATGGGAATACCGCGCTTTGGTACCAGATGAGATTATAAATCAGTTAGGCAAGGCTGCATAAGTAATGTGTTAATGCGCTAAGTTACGCCAGTCTGATCCAGTTCTTCTGGTACTATTAAGCGTTTGGTGCGGTTGTGAAGTTGACGATTGTGGTAATGTGGTGGTTGTCGAATATGTCGTTGACCGAGAGGTAGTAGTCATCAGTCAAGGGATCATGTATTAACTGTTTTTAGGATAATAATTAGACACCCACCCCCTTTTACCGGCTTTTGTGGTACTAACTGTTGAGAAATCACTGTACTATGTCTTGGTTTATAAAATAAGATACCCACCCAGAATTGCTTTAAACAGCTCATTAAATATGACTTTTTATGTTTTAAAAGGATCCGATATTGAATGTAAACATGAAACTAACAGTTGAGATATCTATGCTTAATTAAAAACATACACTAACACACGCCCACATGTTTACAGATTACAATTACACACATGGCATGTATGTAATGTGTACTATACATATCACACATCATTTAAGAACCAGTAGTTGAAATACATTTTAAAATAAATTAAACACTGCACCTTCTCAAACGGAAAAGTCAACAAAGCCAAAGGCCACTTTTTAAAATTATACAAAAGATCAATCGCACTCTGTTTAATAAATTATATCTTAATTTACTAACTGTTTTTGGGCAAATTAGACCTAAAACTCACTATTTAGTAGCATACAGTACAAACTGTTTTTCTGGGAAATGAGCAGCAGATCCACCACTTAGTACAAAAGTACTAACTGTGTTTTGGAAGAATATATGACACACCACCCCAACGTCACGTACAGTTAACAGTACTCAGTACCTGATCCCGGGGTCCCCCCTCCTCCCCGGTAAAATATGACCAATATTTCTTTATCTAAGGACGTATTTAAAATAGTATTACAGTACTTACTAAACGGTGTGTGTCAGAGGGAGTTGTAAGGGCTATCAAACTAGGAATTTTAAGATGTTGCACAGATTTGTATTTCTGAGTTCTCCAGTCACCTCTATTTCAGTCAGTACAATCTCTCTCTCTCTCTCTCTATTCTACGATTTTGGTATCATTAGCACAACAAATAACAATGTAGCCATTACAGCAGCTAGCGACAAGTAAGTTTATCCTAAAAGTAACGAAGCACATGCTCATTTAAAAACCTTCATTTACTGAGAATATGATCAAGCTTATTAGTAAAGATACAATAAGTATTATAAGCGTGGCTTGCCTCAAATTAAATAGATCAGAAGATAACTATAAAACTGATCATGATTAGAACAAAAACAACATAGTGCTTGGTCGTTGTTTTAAAGTTTGAAAACAGTGCATGTGGCCTTCCATCAAGAACACGGAATTATGTGATCATACAAGAAAGACAGATCTTAATAATATTTAACATCATTTGCATCAGGCTTAGTTGTTTTGAAATAAATTACCTCATACAGCTGAAGACCAACAATGATTGGAGAGGAGGAAAAAATATCAAACAGAATAATCATATGTATTGTGAGCCAACCAGGGGTAGATGAGGCAACCATCTCTCAACGGTTTTGACATCATCGAAATCATCTTACCGTCATCTGAATATTTAATTATCTCAATTATTACATTAGCCAGTTGCAGTATAGTAAATTAGCCAGATGCTTAGCAATGCGCATAAATGTGCTCAGTGCATTCTTGGAATTTTCACATGTTTTATTTCAGCCCGACAATGAAAATAATATCAGATCAGTGGTACTTAGATCGAATCCAAATAAAATCAACAAAGTGGCCGCTTTTTATGCACAATTTTTAAAAAAATGTATATTTGGATTATTCATATGTGCACAGATAACTGCATCAAGGTAATGATAATAATAATCCTATACATTTGCATAATTGAAACAATTATGGCCCTTATTGTGGGCAGAATATGTGTTTTCGTTGAAGTGTCCTGGTATAAAACTTATCTGAGTGACTGCATAGGGATAAATACTAGGACCTACTAAACTCAAAAACAAAATGCAGCCACCTAATTAAGATACTGAATTATTTACTTCACTTTAATTATGATGGCCAAACGTGACAAGCTTGTATCTAAACAAATAAAAACATGATCAATGATATGACATACATGTAGCGCGTGGTCAAGCGCAACTAGCAGAGGCCAAACGGAATAGAAATAGCGCAGTGCTTTTTCAACAGTCCCATTATGTCACAGTTAATTATCAATAAAATAACTGACCACTGATCAGCCCTACATGACAAACACCCAACACTCATACTTTAATCAGAAACACTCACTGAGTGAAAAATGTAATACCTGGGAACAAGAAATTTGGGATACATAACATTTTGATGCATAAGTGCATCCCTTTCTGATCTTCTGGATCAATTTTACAAAATTCAGAGAACAATTCCAACACTATACCGGTTTTACATATACAACTAATAGAATTCTAAGGATAAACACAAAATCTATCTTTCTAATTGCTATGGTAATTGTTAAATAGCAAACATTTCGGGGTTGATTCATACTCTGCACTGCTTACAGTTTCATTTTAATAGAAATTTGAGTAATAATGCCTGTAACAATGTTTTAATAAATCATAGTGTGTTAAAGGATACAAATGGAGTGATGTGCTTTATGGCTACATCATTGAGTGCATTGAGTTATGTAACCTAAAAGGTGTCCAGTTTTGGATTGGGAATTGAGTGGGGCAGTATCTGTGCAGCCCTAAAACCAAGAGTAGACTTGGTTGTGGGGCTGCACAGATACTTCCCATGTATATAGAACTATGATCATAATAAACTACTTTTAGGATAAGAGTGAGAAATAGTGAAACAAACTTTTTAGTGAAACAAATTTAAAATAATGCAAGGGTAGGGGTAACAGATAGTTATTATGACTTTAGGAACCTTAACCTTATTCCTAACCAAACTGTTGTGTACTCAATTTAAATGTCTAACTAGCCTTTAATAATGGTGGGTTGTCTTGGATACTGCATTTCCAACTTGGTGCACGCCAGGTTTAAAATAAAATTATTTCCCTCACTTGCTTGGATTAGATTGGCTCACTCCAATGTTAAGACTGCGTCGTCACCAATAACCAGTAGATTCATCATACATGAACTGTAGGCACCTAAATTGAATTGATTAGAATAGATTTCGTTTTCCCTAATAGAAGTTTCGATAGTAAATAAAAGGAAAAATGTGTCAAAATGGTATTTAATATACATTCAATTAAATCAAGTGATGCGATTGGCAGAGCACAATCAAATTTTTAGTGTCTGCAATTGGCAGAGCACAATATTTTAAATCTTTAACAATCTAATATATAAAAGTTTCAAAACGCATGATCTGCTCCATTATTTATACTCCATTAAAGGGGCAGGGATGAGATTGTAGGAGACTTCTGATAGATGGATCTCATGTTTGGTGTCCACCTTCTTTCCCCGGTACTTAATTAAAAGAATATCCATTTGAGCATATATATTTTTACAACTGGTCAAAATATGGGCAAAAAGAAACAATAAACATATAATAACATTTATTGGAATGCGAGAATTTGTATTGTGGCAGGTGGGTGATTTAAGTGCTCCAAGAAATAATTTTACTTTACAATAGGCAATGATGAGTGGCAGGATTTTGTAGCCCACTAATAAACATTCATCTTCAAATCTTTCGAAAATGGCATTATCTCATAGAGCAATATATTCTTGGTTTAAAAAGACAACAAAGAAATTTTCAAAAGAAGCCTATAGAAGAAATTCTGCTTGTGTGCTTGTAAGAAATATCAATCATCTATACGATGGGAGTTGGGACATAAGATTAAAGGCTCATAATGTTAAGTTATAGAAGTCAAGCACATTGATGCATTTGGGACAAGCCATTAGAACTCACTGTACGGCCTCAAGTAGGAAAAATTGTGTGCTTCGTCATGGAGATGGTATGTGAGAATTCATAGACCTGTGATCTACAACAATCATTATGTTACCAATGATTTGAATATCTTTGAAAGTGTCAGATCGAGGATTCAATGAAATCTTATTTGGAGATTTTCACTTTATATCAAAGAATAGGTGATATGATGTTCTATTATATTCTTCATATATGTATTTACAAAAGGTCGTGAGCATACAGTCTCAAATCTACAAACATCATTTCCGAAACTTGTGGACGATCTCAAATTTAAAGCTGGAAAAATATCAGCCAACAATACAATTTGCTTAAATAGTAAAGAATACGAAAGTTAACATCAAACTAGGCGGTTTGTTTGCTCATAAGTAGTCATTTCTTCTGCATTAGAATTAGCGCTCGATGCATCAGGCTATCTATCTATGCATAACAATAAAAATGTATACAAGCTATATTAAAATGACTTTAGATGCATCAATTACCAAATAATTAATTGTTTCAAAATTTATATACTGTGGTCGTTACGTCGATTTTTTAATTCAAACATGGAATGGGTAGCGCATGGTCGCGCGCGCAACAATAAGGTCGCATTTGTGATTTCAATATTTTAAATGACGTACGCGTAACGCGCGGACGCAAGCGCGACTAGCAGCGCCAAACGGGATAGAAAATAACGCGGCTCTATTCAACGTGGTCCCATCGTGCTGCTGCTAACCACTGCTCATGCTAACTGCTGCGCGGTGCTCAGCCTGTGGCTGTCATTTCACCGTTTATAAAAGATGTCAATTCTTTACAGCGATCAGCGCGCGGCTCAATTTAATTATAATTATGATTATACATTTTTGTTGACATACGTTGCATGCCACTTTTCGATATTTGGTCCACCTAACCATGTGCTTTCGCGCCACTGCGGGCGCGCTTGTTTCACAAGTCTTGAGGCGGGCGCGCGCTACTGCTAGCGCAAGGGCTCTGGATAGAGCAAGATATTTGGGATACGTAACATGTATCAACATTTTTGGAGAGGCTGGGTCTGGGTGGCCCACGAAAGGATAGTATGTGGATGCTTTGCCTACCTCTAGGGCTATGGCAGTCCTATGGGAGGATGCCGAAGGAATCAAAATGTATAATCAATAATAGAGGATGATGGTAAGTGTTATGTTGACATACGTTGCATGCCACTTTTCGCGCGCGAAGCGCGCGCCGCCGAAGGCGGAAAATAATATCTCTGATATTTGGATACGAAACATGTATCAACTTTGGCCCTTTTGTGTACGTTGGTGGATGTTACTCATATTTAAATTTTTGAATGTTGAAGTTATAGTGCGCGCCGCTTTCTTTTCGAAATATTATTGACCCGAGACAATTGTTACGAAGTAGCGTGCGCTGTTGACCATTGTTAATGATCAGGCCCGGCGCGGCCATAACATTTCGAGAAGAAAGCGGCGCGCGCTACTTCGAAGAAATTTAGACGAGTAACATCCGTCAACGTGCGCTGGGTCAGTCGTTTAATTGCTCTAACCAGAGCCCTCTCGCTTGCATGCAGTAGCGTGCGACCGCCGAAACAAGCGCGTCACGCAGTACGCGTATACACATAGCTATGTGAAGTCGTTTAACAATGGCCAACACAATAGTGCGTCCACGGTAGTATTTAATATTAGCCTGTACTGCTTCAATAAAATCAAAAATGTGACCTCCAGATCAGTAAAATTAGGTGCGCTGGGAGAGCTGCATAGAGTCCACTAATTGTAGGTTTACAACCTACCAGGACGCGCGCCGAGTTTGGAGTTGGACTCGTCGACGGTCCAATATATGGAACAGATATTTTACGAGTATCACCCGTTAAAGAGTCCACTAGTATTTTATATTAGCCCAATAAAGTGTGACCTCCAGATCAGTAAAATTAGGTGCGCTGCAAGAGCTGCATAGAGTCCACTAGTATTTTATATTAGCCCAATAAAGTGTGACCTCCAGATCAGTAAAATTAGGTGCGCTGCAAGAGCTGCATAGAGTCCACTAGTATTTTATATTAGCCCAATAAAGTGTGACCTCCAGATCAGTAAAATTAGGTGCGCTGCAAGAGCTGCATAGAGTCCACTAGTATTTTATAT